TGACTTACGGAACATTTGGCCAAATGTCCAACAAACTAAAGGGGAGGCAAATTTACGAGATAGGTTTTTTTCCCTTGACCTACTTTATCATTTTGATATATATATATATATACTCATGCCATATTTTTAGTGCCATATTTTTCATATTTTTTCATGGCCCGATGGTCAAACAAATCCAAAAGTTGGCTGCTGGCTAAAAAACGCATGAATCCCTGACGTGGAGTGTACTAAAAGGTAATTTTTGGGCAATTAGGGTTAGTTGAAACACATGAGAATCACATGCTCGTCTCTCTCTCTTTCACTCAAAATTAGGGAAGAAATTAGATTAGGATTAGGGCTTAAATCAAAGTTCTCATTTTCAATTTCACTTTCATCTTCATTTCTTGAATATTCGATATGCACGCCAAGTTCATGCTTAATTTCAAAAGAGATGAATTGAATCAAAGAAACTCCAGTGGGAAAAAAAGAAGAGGGCATGTTGAACCGACCACCATATCGTTGATTCTATATTCTATCTCTATTTGAAATTGAGCTTGAATTAGAAGATGGTGATGCCGAATATAAGGAAATTTCGAGATGATGAAGATGAAATTGAAAAGTGAGAATTTTAATTTAGCCTCTAACCCTGACCTAATTTTGAATGAAAGAGCGAGAGAAGCACACGCTTCAGTTAGCCCTAATTACCAAAATAATTACCCTTTAATACACTTCCGAGTCAATGCTTCTCCAATTTATTTCGCCGGCGGCAAACTTTTGGGATCTATTTGACCATAAGACCAAGAAAAAAAAAATCAAAATAATGCCCGGAGTAATAAAAGATATCAAAGTGGTAAAGTGAGCCAATAAAAAATAGTAATATAGTAAATTAGCCCCCCAAATTTGACGTACATTACAATGTGGATCAATTCATTCTCTCAAATATTTCACTCAAAGTTACCCATGTTTTGCATGTTGCTTTCATGGTGTGTTTGACAGTACTAAATTGGTTATGTGCTAAATTGTGTTTGGTGGAATCCGAGCTTGATTTGGTCCAGCTCCCTTTCAGTTCTTGTTCCCTCCCTCAATCAGAGTAGGATTGGATTCGCTATCCTTAAATCACTCAACCTTCCAGTATAGCTAAAACTTAGGAACGATGAAACTAGGCAAATATTTAATTATTTAGAGGCAAGGGGTGCCTAATTATCACTTGAGCCATATAAAAGACAGTTGTATGAGGAACAAACACATAATTAAGCAACGATTTCATTAATAAATAGATCGAAGAAACCAAGTTCCAAAGGTCATCAACAAGTTTGTACGAGACGCCACTTAAAGCTCGAGATTACGGGGACTAATTAAACAAAACCCGAAGCGAAGCTGTACCTAATAATATCTCCAGATTGTATCCAGAAACAGCACAGTACCCAAAACAGCAATATTATGTACGCGCTTCCACGAAACTACCTACCTTCATAAGTCAATGCCCCTATTTACAGCATCTAACACCTAAAATCTAGATTAACGTTCTCATATATATATATATATATATATAGGGAGAGGTTATAATAAAAACCTTCTTAGCCTAAAAACTAAAAACCTCCTTCATCCAATGGTTAGGATTCAGTCAAATAGTCAACAGATACATGTATTAATTACCTCATTAAACACATGCATTAATTACATCAACGCAGTGAATCCGGATTCACTGTAGTGAATCTGGATTCACTGTAGTGAATCTGGATTCACTGCAGTGATTCGAGATACGTTGAGGTAGTGAATAGCTCACAATTAGTCGAACCTTTCCATTTAAGCCTTTGATGGAAGAATGAGCCCCCAGGATGTGTTCGGCAACTCTCTTCGAACGACTTTGGTGAAATGAGTCCGGTCATAATATAAGCTTGGCAAAAACTAGCAAACCTTTTAACCAATGTTTCAGGTTTTTTTTTTCATCCTTGGAAGTTTGTTTAGCTATGTTCGATCTATTATGTTTATGATCAACAACCAAGCTGATTTGGGCCAAAACTAATTTATGAAGACAGTCGCCAAATCGATTCTTAATTGCAACGCACGCCCCTGAGGCAGAATCGAGTTGAGTTCACGGATTTTTAGATTTTGCACATTCTAAATGTGGTATGGTGTAATTACACAAGTGACCTGATGATCTGTGTTTCTACACAGACAACCCTCTTAGATGAAAGTGATCTAACGGTTACTTAGGGTTACTCCGCCACCATCAATAATCTCAGGTTATATATGTAAATACAGGAAACCTAGTAACACCTGTATAATTATACCATACCGGAGGGTACCAGGATTGTTGGGAGTGAGGGAACGCCCACACTACCGCGGAAGCTAAATCACTGCCGAGAGAAAACAACTCTAGCTTAAGTTTATGCCAAACTCAAACCAACTAATACAAACAATAGTGAATACACAGATAAAACAATAAGTAAATTAGACGAGACAACTGATTTACGTGGTTCGACAAGCTTGCCTACGTACATAGATAAGCTTGCCTACGTGGTTCGGGAAACCCCATTCACGAGAGCGGTGTGGTGCTCTCTCTCTCTCTCTCTCTCTCTCTCTCTCTCTCTCTCTCTCTCTCTCTCTCTCTCTCTCTCTCTCTCTCTCTCTCTCTCTCTCTCTCTCTCTCGCGTGATTTTAACAGAGATGATTTTTCTCTCTATGGCGGCGGCTCTTCTCAGTGATTTTGAGGAGCAATTTTCGGTCAAGAAAATTGAGATTGAGTTGTGATTCAGTTGAATAAATTACAAACAATACTGTAGAGAGATCTAAAGCTTGAGATCTTCTCTTAGCAAGTTTTGTAATTTCTTGTGGTTAAATAAGAAATTAATTGTGCGGCTCCAGTGGACGTAGGTAAACTTGTTGAACCACGTAAATCTGTTGTCTCATCTTATTTACTTATTGTTTTATCTGTGTATTCACTATTATTTGTATTGGTTGGTTTGAGTTTGGTGTTGTTGATGCTCAATATAGGATGTTTGCGGAGTGATGAAGGATGATGGAGGGCCCGCTCCCTTTTTCGACTTTATGCCTGGTTCTTGAACGAGGGCTTGATGTCCACGCTGCACAAAAAAGAAGAACTCATGAGGGGGCGGGGACCAGTTCCCATGTGGTTCCTCCGACGATCAAGTTAGTGAAACTCGAGTGGGAAAGGGGAAGGTCAAAAACCGAAGTGGTTCTTAAGGTGGCAATGTGCATGCCTAGAGATCTACCTAAGCTCCTCTGTGTTGATGAAGAACCGTGTGTTCTTTTTTATGTGCATTAGAGATGATGATCTCCTAGATTTAGCTCAGGAGGAGGAAGTCTTGATGTCAGCCTCCTCCTTTCTTGTTGGGATTAGATATGTTCCCTTTAGCCCAACCTCGAGAAGCGGTATTGGAGTGCAGGCTAAGAGCTGAGTCATCTATCGCTTTATAGGTGTCGGCTGGCGACTGGAGGAAAAGTCACTTCATTATGGGAGAGTGTGTCTCCATATTTTTTGGGAAGCGATTGAGAGCGTGACAGAAGACACGCTGACATGCTGAATCATCTCTCGCCTTACAGGTGTCGGCTGGTGATTGGAGGGGAAGTCACTTCATTATGGGAGAGTGTCTCTCTGTATTTTCTTAAAAGTGATGGAGCTGACAAGTCATGGAGACCTTATTAGGCAAAAATCTGGATAATGCTTGTCTAAGGTAGACTGAGATGTTGACATATGCTCTGGGATAGATGTTTGGAGATGAGGCCGAGTTCTCAACTTAATCGACAGCAAGAAATGTCCCTCCAGTCGTTTTTGAGAAATGTATAGTGAGTGGTCGAGTGCCCTAAGTACGGTCGTCCTCGATGATAAGGTCGACCGACAACGCCTTTCACGTCGACTCAAGAGTGTCGGCCTGTCCGATTGTTGGAATGTCGTCTTGTCTCAGCTAATAATCGTCTCTCGAGTCGATATAAAGATGTCAATTCGTCTGGGAGGTCAGGATCTCTCGTGCCGACCAATATCGTCTCTGGTGTCGACACCAGAGTGTCGGCTTGATGAGTCAGTGGAGCCGTGATAAGGTACTAAAACCTTACACTTAGCCATGATAGTCGAGTTGCACTGGAGGATTCGACCAAATGTTGTGCCTTAGGCTTACCTTGATAAAGAGCTAATGACTTGTAATTCGACCGAGGAATCAAATGCCTAGAGCTCTTAAAAGTTGACTATGTCTTTTTTCCCCCTAAAGCCGATAGAGTGGAGCCGAGGTCTTTGCTATTGTGCCTTGGGTTTATCCCTGATAAGGTACTAAAACCTTACACTTAGCCATGATAGTCGAGTTGCACTGGAGGATTCGACCAAATGTTGTGCCTTAGGCTTACCTTGATAAAGAGCTAATGACTTGTAATTCGACCGAGGAATCAAATGCCTAGAGCTCTTAAAAGTTGACTATGTCTTTTTTCCCCCTAAAGCCGATAGACGACTGTGAAAGTCGACCAAATGGTTGAGTTTGTTTTGCTAGGATTCTTATCGTATCATTTTGTAAAAATTTGTATCTTGGTTGAGTAAACATCATAACAGGCGTAAACTTAAGCTAAGATTGTTTTCTCTCTGGAGTGATTTAGCTTCCGCGACAGTGTGGGCGTTCCCTCGCTCCCAACAAGGATATAAGTAATCCTAGATTTTTATGTGACATAAACCAACAATTACAAGACAAACGACCTATTCACCTGGACAAGTTAGAGATTTGCAGCATTAAAATGGCCAGTTAAGAAATAGGATTACGCTGACAAACTGCTGATTAAGCTAGAGATCAACGTCCTTTAAATAAGAAACATCAAAACAAGCTAATACCTAATAAACTCCAGATTGTATACAGAAGCATCACAGTAGCCAAACACCAATAATATGTACGTCCTTCCAATAAACTACCTTCATAAGTCAATGCCCCTATTTACAACTATCTACCACCTAAAAACCTCTGCATCAGCCCCCACATTAAAAAAAAAAAAAACAATTAACACAACAAAACTCCCTAAACATGCCAGTCAGAAGTAATCAAACCGTTCGGGTTTCGGCTGCTCCGCTTTACACGACCCGACCCGACCCAGACCCGGCACCACCGGCGGTTTGCACGACCTCAGCAGCGCAAAATTAACCCCTTTGAAGAAGGAATGCGCCTTAACATCAGCGGCCCCGTTAACCGACCCGAGGCGATCCATCGGATCCTTTCGCAGCAAACCCGCTATCAAATCGTCGACAGGACCCGAAACCGACGGGAAGGTGAGCGGCTTCTTAACGATGTTCTTGAGCGTGGCCTCGTTGTTGGGGCCCACGAAGGGGGTCTTGCCGTGGATGAGCTCGAATAGCGTAGGCCCACCAGTCGACGGCAGCTGCCGCTGGTTGCTGGGCGCCGAGGCAACCTCGGCGGCCTACTCGTGTCCGACGTAAAGGAGTCGAACTTCGCGTCGACGCGGCTCTGCGCCGGGTCTGGGTCTGGATTTGGGCTTTCTTGGGCTTCGAGAAGACGAGGGGGAGGCACGATGGCAGATCAGTTGGGGGTTCAGTTGCGGGGGTGGGGTCCACGGGCTGGAGGGAGGGCGATGACGTGGACTCGAGGGAGAGGTCGAAGTCGGAGAGCATGATGTGGCCGTCGGATCTGATGAGGACGTTCTCGGGCTTGAGATCTCGGTACACGATGCCGAGCATGTGGAGGTATTCGAGGGCCAGCAAGACCTCAGCAGCGTAGAATCTGTAGGAATTATTAACAACTCAGTCAGTAGTTAAAAAATTTTCGAAAATTAGCGAAATATCTGAGAGTGAAGTTGACAGGGTTTGGGCGAACTTGAAGAAAGAGACTGGCAATTAATTAAAGAGGCGGGAAAAAAATTGAAACATTATCCAATAAAAAAAATGAAAAATATTAGGAAAAAAAATCATTTTGAAATCGGACCTTGCAGCGTTGATGGAGAAGCGATGCGCAGGCTGGCGATGGCGAAGCGCGCTGCAGAACTCCATCACGACGCATGAATAGCTCGGCGACGCATCGAAATCAGCGTAGAGCGTCGGGAGAAAAGGATGATCGAGAACCTTCAAGATCCTCTTCTCCGTCTCCGCTCTCTCCATCTTCTTCTTCTTCCTCAAAATATCCTTGTCCACAACTTTCATCGCGTACATCGCCGGCGACGGCGAGGGAGACGGAGAGTTTTCCGGCGACGAATCGTCTCGCAGCTTGGCAGCAGGTACACGTTCCGATGTCGCCGCTTCCGATTCTGCGAATGAGTCTGAAATCTTTAGCTCCGAGGTTGAGGTTGAGATTGTGCCCGCTTTTGATCGTTCGGGATCTGATCGCCGTCCAGGCTGATCCGATGATCGGTGAGGTTTTGAGGCGGCGGCGGAGGCGGTGAGGCGGCGGAACGTCGTCGAGTGGCGGGAAAGGCTGCTGCATGCGATCGCAGCAGGCTGTCCGTTGCTCATCGAGCTCTGGCTCGAGTTTACGGTTTCGGATCCGAGCTCGCCGTCGGAATCTAGAGGTAAGAGATCGAGCATTTTTGTTGGATGTTTTCCTTCAAAAATTTGCGGATTTCTTTTATTTTTCATGAACAATTGATGGGCTAGAGTTCAGAATCGTAAAAGGGGGGTATTTATAGGAAGGCCTAGATTGAGGATGTGGTCACCGCCGGTGAGGGTAGGAGAGCGTGTACCGCTGCACGTGCGCTGCAACAGCTCACTTTGTACTTCTTTTGTCTTTTCCCTTTTCTCTCCTTCTCGCCTATTTGTTAACACCTGGATGACGTGGCAAGGGGGAGTGGCAGAAGCGTAAATAGAGAGACGAAATGGGGAGAAAAAGGGGGAGGGGAGAGAATATTAAATTGGGAAGTGGACGTATGCATGCAAAAAGAAGACGATTGTGTGTCCGAAATTGGGTAGATATGCAATTATAATGATTCAGATGTAATTATCAACTTTTCGGGGCAATTAATGAAAAGGCTGTGGAGAAATGAATTCGCAATTAATTTTAGGAGGGCTGAAGAGTAAAAGCTCCGGAGTTGACAGCGCTAAATTTGATAAAAATTAAAGATTTAACTCTTATGGAATATGGAAATTAGTTGGTGAATTTATTGTGTGTTGATTTGGCCATTATTGTATGGGATTGTCCGAACGCTTATCATATAGATGCAATCATTAGAAGTAGCTTTAAAATAATGTAGATATAGAAATTATCCACATTTTTGTAATTTTTATGGGTTAAATTAAAAGATGATGTAGATATAGAAATCAAAGTCTGAATGAAAATTAAATAAGTTCAAAGATGCTACAAACGACCTTTATAGAACAATCTAAGAATCCAAACACTTTTTTCATATTCAACGTGAATATATGCTATATAAGTGTTGTAGGTTAAAATTCAAGCATCATATATACAGTAAAAGAATACAAAAATAATTAAGGAAAAAGAAAAGAGAAAGTTGCCGACCTTCCAGAATCGGTTCAATTTTCTTCAACGTTGAAATGCTTATCTCGCTTCTCCTTTATACAACTTTTTTACAAGTGGTTATGTATGTCTGAGAATGAAATTATAACCCATAATTTTCAGGTCAATTTCAAATTTTTATTCATAATTGAAGAGCACTTGCTAAGCTACAAGTCTAGTGGAAGAAGATGCATTTAAAGCGGATCTAAGAAAAAACACTACACAAAAATAATTCAATTTTCTGCATATCAAGTGGACTCTCAACTTAAGTATAAAATTATATCGAAAGACGATATTAGATCAGCTGAGGTTCAAATCTCATTGAAGATGCATTTAAGACGGACCTAAAGAAATTATTGCACAAAACAGTATAATTTTCTATATATCGAAAGACACCTAACCCCTCAGTACATGTTGGAGTATAAATTTTTATCCCCCATCCTTTATTCCAACTTTGAATTTTTGATGCGGCGAAGAACACTTTAAGATTATATACGAGCTAGCACATTATTTTCAAATGTCATTGAAGATGCCTTTAAAGAGTATCTTAAAAATCACTACACAAAATAATCTATATAATTAGTTTTTGCATATCTAATGGACCATCAATATTAAGTACATGCTAGAGTATAAGTTTATCTCTCAACCTTCTTTGCAACTATAGAATTTTGATGTAACAAAAGAGGGTAAGAATTTCTCATCACCAACTATTAAATAAAATAAATTTTCTTAATTTGAGCATTAATGATACTTGCATTTCTTACTACACAAATTCCCCACGGGCTCTTAGTTAATTATACTGCAAGCTGCCGTGAGCAAATATAACTAGCAGGCACTGTCTCCTTGATGCCCAACCCCAAAAAAACATGATTTTTTTTGTTCAACGGATAGATACTCTATAATAATCTCCCATCTCTTCAAGAATATAACTTTCAATAATGATTCGTTGTCATCTTCTCTAATTAAACTAAACTTATGGTTCTTATTGACAGTCAGATATTTTAAACTAAAAAATTCTTCTCTGTGCCTTTTACTCTATCTCACTGAAACTTGATGAGAGCTTATTCAAGAAAACAATTGCACGTTTGGTGTTCCTTAAAATCTAAACAGCTAATTAGTATCCAACTTTATATAATAACTTGTTACCTAATATGTCAACAAGACGTAGACAAAGGAGTAATTACAACTGTCTACTATTTGTCGAAAATTTCTTTTTTTTTTCAAATGCTGTATAATTGGAGGCTTAGATCCACCCATGGCCATGTGAGTTGCTGCAGGGGCACAGGTCCTACCCTAAGAATGGCACTGAGGGTCCACAATGAGAATTTTGGAGGGTTAGTGATTTAAGAAATTTGTTCTCTATACAAATTTTTTGTTAGATTTGTTAGAGGGTGTAAGAAAAAACCACTTTACTCGAAACTATTTCCTCCGAGTTATGAACTAATCAATGCATATTGATAAAAGTGGAAGCCTTACTTGTTCCTAGGCATAACTATCTTAATTATGCCCCTTGTAAAAATGCATATTATGCACCGAAATTGGATATCGACTCCGTTCATCTTGATCTACACGTCTTAAAAGACCTATAAATAAAAAATTATGTATGCTGAACATATATTACACGTGCATCGCGTG